TAGGTTCCCACCAGGATCCTGCCAGAGAGATAGATACATCCAGTGCCACCTGCAGATTCTCCCCTTGCATTAGGCCAACTGAACCAAGGGTCAGGGTGGCCTATTGTGGTCATGAAAGTGTGATCTTTTAGTTCAGTCATCAGTAAACTGGGGCCCCACAGGACAATTCTGGCCCACCACCTCTTCATGTAAATAAAGTTTATTGGCATACAATCATGCCCATTCATTTATGACATATTATCTATGGCTGCTTTTGAGCTACAATGGCTGAGTTGAGTAATTACAACAGGTACTATATGGACCACAGAATTGACAATATCCACTAACAAGCCCTTTATAGATAATGTTTGTCAACCCTTGACCTAGTTAGTACACCTAACTAGGGTGACCTAAGACCACCCACCAAGAGTATGGGCTTTGCAGGTGTTCATGAATGATCTGGAGCCTTCAGTCTGTGGTAAGTATGCAGTGGAGAGCCTGGCTGAGATTTTAAACTCTATTCTAGAGAGAGAAGTCCTGGGTGAGCTTGTTGTACTTCAGGCACACATGGGACATGTGTATGTGGGTACATAGGCTTGTGTGTGTATGCACATATGAAAGCCCCTAGACACTATTAAGAAAGTGAGGTTTCGGACTTCCGCCAAGATGGATGCATAGGTGGATATGCTGTGCCTTCTCACACAACCAAGTTTAGAGACAACTAAATATTAGCAACAGAAAACATAGCCAGAACATGGAAAATTGAACTTTTCTGAAGTCTGTTAACAACAAATTCTTCAGCCTGACCGGTAAGGGGCGAAACCAGCAGCTGGTGGAGAGGGGTTGCACAGGAAAACTCGGTCAGACGACTCAGGCGCGCGGAATCCAGGCGCAGGGTTGGACCTAGTGAGCGACCGAGCGAGCGACCAAGTGAGCGACCGCCGGGAAACAGCGAGGGAGCACAGCTGCGGGTTGACTGTGGTCGCGCATTTGTGCACGGATAGACAAGCGAGGGAGTGGGCGATTGGACTGGAACCCAGCGGGTCCCCACAGGAAGTGGCAGGGAGGGTGCCGCCATTTCCCTGCTCTGACCCCACCTCCACATACAGCATCATAACCCAGTGACTCTGAGTGGCCCGGCCCTGGTGAACCACCTAAGGCACTGCTCCTCACCCAGCTGCACAAAACAGCAGAGGGGGTTGCTCGCCATTTCCCCCGCTCTGACCACGCCCCCACATACAGCGTCACAACCCAGCGACCCGGGAGTCCAAGGCTCCGCTCCTCACATTTAAAGGGCCCGAACAGACCAAAAATGGCTCAAGAAGATCTCAAAGCCCCAGAGCCAATAGATCTAAGTGATGAAGAAATAGCAAAACTCTCGGGCGCACAGTTTAAAACATTGGTGATCAGGATCCTCACAGAACTGGTTGATTATACCGACAAATTAGACAAATATATGAAGAGGAAACTAATTGAAATGAATGGAATTGCACAGGACACCAATAGCAATGAAAAGGAAACTGGGACTCAAATCAATGGAGTGGACCAGAAGAAAGCAAATAATGGCCAAACAGAAAAGAGTCAAGAAGCAAGAATTCAAAGAAATGAGGAGAGTCTTAGGAACCTCCAGGACATCTTTAAACGCTCCAACATCCAAATTATAGGGGTACCAGAAGGGGGAAAGGCACAGCCACCAGTGGAAAACTTCTTTGAACAAATAATAAAGGAGAATTTCCCCAATCTGGCAAAGGAAATAGACTTCTAGGAAATCCAGGAAGCTCAGAGAGTACCAAAGAAGTTGGACCCAAGAAGGAACACACCAAGGCACATCATCATTACATTAGCCAAGATTAAAATGAAGGAGAGAATCCTAAAAGCAGCAAGAGCTAAGGGGACAGTCACCTACAAAGGAGTACCCATCAGACTGTCAGCAGATTTCTCAAAAGAGACCTTACAGGCAAGAAGGGGCTGGAAAGAGGTATTCCAAGTCATGAAATCCAAAAACCTACAACCAAGATTGCTCTATCCAGCAAAACGTTCATTTAGAATGGAAGGACAGATAAAGTGCTTCTCAGATAAGACCAAATTCAAGGAGTTCATCATCACCAAGCCCTTATTATATGAAATGTTAAAGGGACTTATCTAAGAAAAAGAAGATAAAGAAACATGAACAGTGAAAGGACAACAAACTCACAGTTATTAACAACCACACCTAAAACAAAAGCAAACTAAGAGGACAGCTAGATCAGGAGCAGAACCATAGAAATGAAGATCTCATGGAGGGTTAGCAACAGGGGAGTGGGAGGAGGAGAAAGGGGGAGAAGGTACAGAAAATAAGCAGCATAGACAGTAGATAGAAAATAGATGGGGAGGGCAAGAATAGCATGGGAAATATAGAATCTAAAGGAATTGAGACACATGGTCATAAACTAAAGGGGGGATAACGGTGGGGATGGGGGGGTAGGGTGGAGGGGAATGAAGGGGGGAATAGAACAACTGTAACAGCATAATCAATAAAAAATTTAAAATAAAAAAAAATTTACAAACACAAACATATAACCCTAGGGGTAAAATACTAAAACTAATAATAAATTAATTATTTCTGGGAATAAAAGTAAATAGGAATGAGCTTGCATGAAAAAAATAAAATAAAATAAAATCTTTTAAAAAAAACTTTATTTAAAGGAGCCCTGGCTGGTGTAGCTCAGTGGATTGAGCACAGGCCTGCAAACCAAAGGATTGCAGTTTGATTCCCAGTCAGGGTACATTCCTGGGTTGCGGGACACATGAGAGGCAACCATACATTGATATTTCTCTCCTTTTTTCCTTCCCTTCCCCTCTAGAGATAAATAAATAAAATCTAAAAAAAACCCTTTATTTAAGAAAGTGAAAAGACAAACAGAATGGGAAAAATCATTTGTAAATCATATATCTAACAAAAGTTTTATATCCAGAATACATATATAAAACACTCAGAACTCAACAGGAAAAGCAAACAACCCAATTTAAAAATGGGCAAAAGCCCTGACCAGTGTGGCTCAGTTGGTTGGGCATCATTTTGCAAAGTGAAAGGACACTGGTTTGATTACTGATCAGGGCACATGCCTAGGTTGCAGATTTGGTCCCCAGTCGGGTTCTGTATGAGAGGCAATCAATAGGTGTTTTTCTCTCACATTGATATTTCTCCCACTCTTTCATCCTCTCTTCCCTTCTCTCTAAAAATAAATAAAACCTTTAAAAATAAAATAAAAAAATTAAAATGAGCAAAAAGCATGAATAGACATTTCACCAAAAGATATGCAAATGGCTATTAAGAATGTAAAAATGTTCAACTTCATTAGTCATTAGGGAACTGCAAATCAAAGCTACAATGAGATACCACTTTGTACCCACTAGGATGATATAACTTTTACAATGGAAAATAAGTGTAGACCAGGATGTGGAGAAACTGGAACCTTTGTGTGTTGCTGGTGGGAATGTAAAATGGTTCAGACCCAGCAGCATACAATTTGGCAGTTCCTCAAAAAGTCAAACATAAAATGAGCACCCTGGCCGGGTAGCTCAGTTAATTACAGCATTGTCCCAATATGCCAAGCTATCAGGTTCGCTCTCTGGTCAAGGCACATACAAGAAACAACCAATGAGTGCATAATAAATGGAACAAAAAATTGCTTCTCTCTCTCCCCCTCCCTTTCTCTAAAAATCAATAAATTTAAAACAATTAAAAAATTTTAAAACTCCATAGAATTAGTACATGACCCAGCGATTCCAGGAGTGAGACAAACTATTTTATGAAGACTGGTGATGGAATTTGCTCAGTGAAAAATGACCATGGCTTCCTTGTTCAAAACAAAAAATTTCAAGATAGTGACAGCAGAGTATAAAAGCAAGCCGGGGGCCCTTCAGAGTACAGAGCCCTCAAGTCTAACTGCTGGGAAGGGCTGCTAGGACTGCAGTCTTCAACTTCACAAACTGGCCCTACAAGGTTACACGTCCAAGGTCAACATTCATGTTAAAGTCTCCCCACCTTGTGATAGTCAAGAAACTCAGCACACCACCATATTTGTTGATGGTGATTTTCTTTTTCCCCAATATTCTACGGAATAGGGGAGGGATGAAATATTTTTCAAGCATCTGGATTTACAGCTCCCACCACCATATACAGAGGAAATCAGCCTTTTGATCTTAAATCTCTCCCTTCCTTCACCATTTCTTTGAGTTTCCAAACAGTGCTACACAGAACAAAAGGTATGCTGTCCCTGGGTGCTAACATTGGTGTCTGGTTGGGTGCACATGCTCAGCTAATATTGCTGCAAGAAAGAAAAAGAATGAATTGCTGGCTGGCTGGATGGATGGATGGATGGGTGGGTGGATGGATGGATGGATGAATTTGGTACACTGCCTAGAAAGAGTTCAGGTTCAAAGATCAGAATGTCTGGGCTCAAAGCCAGTTTCTATCATTTACTAGGTGGCACCTCTCAACAAGTCCCTTACCCTACTGAGCCCAGGTTGCCACATCTGAGAAAGAGGAGCTTCAGAGGAACAGCTCCTTCATGGGGCTGTTGGGATGGGCAAGTGAATGACAAGTACAAATGCTCACGACAGTGGCGAGGCACCATCACTGGCACCAGTACACTGCTGGTAGTTACTATGATGCTCAAATGAGAGTAAGGTGAGTGAGGTGATGCTTGAAGGATAGGTGGGGCTGTTACTTCTGTCTTTGTCTTATCACTGTAAGCTCTCAGCTTCTGGCAGTTTTTTCCCAGAGGGAGAAGGGCAGCACTGCTGTGGGAAAGCCAGGTCATTTCTGAGAGGGAACAACCCCAGAGGCTGAGCCACTGGGAGCAGGAGGCAGCAGAGATGGGCATGGATGGGTGTTCCAGGGCAGCCTGCACACCCTGCCGCTGGGCTCCAGCAGCAAGGCAGGTGGTCGGGCTCTCAGGGCATCTCAGGCACCAGTACCTGAGGAGAAGGTAAGGCTGTGCAAGAAAGCAAGGTGGGAAGGTAGGGTCCAGGCTCACCCTCACAGATGTGTGTTGCCTCCTGGAGATGGTAGCCAGGGGCGCACTTGTACAGAAAGCTGCCGAACGCATTGACATACTTGCCTCTCTGGCAGAGCCCTGGCAGGTTCTGGCACTCGTCAATATCTGTCAGGAAGTGAGAAGTCTGAGCTTGGAAGCTAAACCCATGGAGGACTTGGGGACACCAGTGTCCTGGGCTGGGCTCTCCAGGGCCCTGGAGGAGCCTGTCCTGCTTCTTCAGGACTACCTGGGAGTTGCTAGATACTGGAGACCACACCCAGACCCTGTGGGTCAATGTCACCCTGAATTTATCCCCTTTTCCTTCACCTGATAGTCATTCCATTCATTGCAAGGACTTCCCAATGGACTTTGTCAATCTCACCCTGCCCTGTGCATAGAAGGATGAATTGATGCATGCAGGATCAGTGGGTGGGTAGACAGAGTGGGAGTAGTGGATGAGTGAATGAGCAAGTGGGTCAATGGACAAAAAGGTGGATGAGTAAATGGATGCGTGGCTGAGTTGGCAGGTGTGTAGATGAATGAATATATGGATAGGGGGGTGAGCTGGTGGATGAATATATGAATGAATGTATATAAATGTATGGATAGATGAACAGAAGGAAAGATGAAGGATGCATGAGGAGTGGATGGACAGATCAACAGGTGAAAGAAGAGATGGCTAAAAGAAAAGACAAAAATTCACCACAAACTAAAAACACTATTTGGTCTCACTGTTGGGCTTCCAGGCAAGAGGACCTGGGTCTCCTCCCAACACTGCCCACCTCTGCTTGGTGAAGCAGTGATGAAAGAAAGGTAAATCAGTGGTACACGGTGGATGAAATGCTAAGACCTCACCTTCCAGGATAACAGTGATGGAGTTGGGCCAGAAGCCCTCGCCACACGGACATAAAGTCCTGTATTCGGCTGCAAGGGAAATAGGCTCTTGTGAGGGGCAGAGGGACAGGGCACTCTGGTAAAGCCTGGGGAGGGGAGACAACTGCTAAGACAGGCTCGAGAGGATGTCCTGCATCCGTTTACCACACCAACTGCCTCCAACTTTTTACCTCCCCAGCCACTCAGGGCCAGGCAACACTGGCTTGTCCTGGGGTGGGGGGACCCAGCACCTGTGTATGTGTGTAAACACATATCCACATTCAACATGTAAGCAGATAGATAGTGTGGTAGTAGCTGGGGATGTGGAGGAGGGATTCTTTCTGATCTCAAACCAGACCCCGGTGTGATCTCGTTTCTCCCACAAAAGGAAGACCCTGAACATTCTTTCTCCCTCTCCCTCTCACACACACCCCCCTGAATAATAGGTGGTTAGGTAGACAGGTGACTCCCTGTTTCCCACTGGAGGCCTTTGCACATTCTGTTCCCCTGTATCTCATACCCTTCCCTCTACTCTGCCTGCAAAACTTCTACTCATGCTCCAAACTTTCACTCAAGCCTCTTGCCTTGAGAAGTCTTCCCTTACCCCCTTCCTCTGCAGGCTTCCCCCTAAGCCATCACTGTACCTCAAACAGACCCCTACAATGGTTCTATTCTCAGTCCTAGGACCAGGTTCATGGGTGAGGAACACTGTACAGCCACTGTGGTTTATCATTTTTTGAGTCCTGTCGGGAGCTGGCCAGCAACCGTCCCTTGACAAGGTCAGGACAGTTGAGATGCATCTGTAAGGCAGAGGCTACTGTGGCTGGATTTCCTGTCTATCTCTCCTTACATGTTTGTTTGGGTGATCAAAAGGTGGTGGGATTGTTAGACACTTGTATTTCAGGTTCATCGATTAGCATAATTCCAATGAAGTTGTACAAAATAATTTCTTGACCAGAGAACAAAATCCCCTCTAATGAAATAGCCCCTGAATGTCTAAAAGTTGTTGGAGTAACAGCCTCTCCTTTACCTTAAATAAGAATATATATCAATTAGACAGGCAAAGAAATAGCCATTACAAACTAAGTACGTAGAAACAGTTACTAGGGAGTCAGAGTTTGTAGTACACAGAGAAACATTTTAGACAGAAAAGGCTAGATAGCTAAGTTAGACAGCACAAAGGCCTTATAATAAATTTCCTATTACCTCTACTCAATCTAGTGTATCCTTTTGCCCCATGACAAATTCTGAGAACTTTAATATACAATAAGACGTTCAAATTCTGTACATACAGCTATTTTTAATTGCCTGATTTATGGCTCTTCTGGTCAAAATAATCTTTGTTTATTATAACTGAATCTATGGGAACTTTCGTATTTTTCCTGGTTACCTTTGTATTGATTTTTTTCTGCTTAACTGATCATGCTATACTGCAAATGTTAATCACTACCTAAAATGAAAATATAAAAACCTGCTTGCACTTGCAATAAACAAAACAGAGCTTCACTGTCCTTTGAGGCATGTTGTCATCTGTTACCCATCGCCAACGCCTTACCCACCTTCGGGAATCCCTGGACCCTGCTGTGGCTGGTCCGCGGCAGAGTCCCCAGCCCCAAAGAACCCTAACACAGAGGAACCCTCAATGTTTGGAGGTGATAGCCAAGTAGTCAATGTTTGCTGACTGTCTGAGCCCATGAGTGAATATAAACATACAGAGAAGAATCTATAGGAAGACACCTTGGAGAGAGGCCCAGATAATGAACTTCTGAGAATACACTGTGTAACTCAGGCTCAGCCACTCCCTGTCTGGTTCCTAAGCATCCCTCACCTAGCAGAGATGACTCCCTAATCCCAGAGAAGACCAGGACTGGGGCTAGGTCTCTGTGACTCAGGCCACAGCGCTTGCCTGCCCCACCCTTTGGGACTCACTGGTGTTGGCCATAGGACACAGCTCTCAGGGGCTGCCCCAGGCTTGGCCCAGCGAGCAACAGCAGGACGCACGGAGGACGCCAACCCCAATCTCAGCACTTCAGGAAATGCCACCATCCCCTTGGTAGTGCATGTCAAGAAAACGGTTTCCGAGCCAGGTGTCTGAACAGACAGAAGGGATGGTTAGCAGGTACCAGAAGAGAGATGGTGTATGTGTATGTGTGTGCATGTGTATCTGCATGTGTGCATGTGTGTGTCAGATGTGTGTTTCTGAACAAAAAATCATGCAGGGGCCAAGCAGACAAGACTTGTGTGGGTGTGTCTGTGTGTGTCTAGAGGAGAAGGCTGTATTTCAGCAGTCAACAGGGATGATCACTCTGGCCAGGGGCAGCGAGGACCTGTTTGTCAGGAGCAGGTGGATTTGAGCAGGATGACAGACCAGGGTGACCAGGCTGTAATTCCACCCAGCTCACGGAACTGAGTAGCTACTCACCCACACAGCCAACCCTGCTGGGGTTCAGCTCAAAATCCTGGGAGCAGTTGCAGAGGTAGCTGCCAGGGGTATTGACACACACTGCATTGATGCAGTTTAGGGGGTCTGCACACCCGTTGACATCTGTGGAGTGGGGCTCCATCAGTAGGGAGCCAGCCCTCCCTCAGCCCACATCCCTGCCACCTTTCGCTGGGGGAACTGAAGCCCTGGGTGTTGGGGGTTGTGCTGTGGCCCGTGCCCTCCCCAGGGTAGAAAGCCAAGGTGACAGCAGCCTTGGGGTCTGCCCTGCCCTGTAGCCAGCACTTAGAACATGCTTTCACACTAGTCATTGGCAAACTACGACCTGTGGGCCGAATCCAGCCCCGGCTTTTTGCGTCAGTAAAGTGTTATTGGTACACAGCCACACCCACTCAATCGCCTGTCAGCTTTCAAGCTACAGTGGCAGAGCTGAATGTCTGTGAGAGAGACCACATGGCCATAGGACACAGCTCGAAGGGGGTGCCCCAGGCTTGGCCTAGCAAGCAACAGCAGGATGCACAGAGGACGCCAACCCTGATCTCAGCACAGCAGGAAAAGCCACTGTCCCCTTGGTAGTGCACGTCCAGAAAACAGTTTTTGAGCCAGGTGTCTGAACAGGCAGAAGGGACAGATGAACACAAAATCAAAGATATTTTACTATCTGGCCCTTAACTGAAAATGTCCACTGATTCTGTTTTGTTTAAATACTCACCGGAGGATATGTTTATTGATTTCAGAGAGAGAGGAAGGGGGAGAAAGTGAGAGGGAAACACTGATGTGACAGAGAAACATGAATTGGTTGCCACTCCTAAGGGTACACAGAACAATGCTTCAACCATCTGAGCCACCCAGCCAGGGTTTTAAACACACAATTGGGAGACCACCTGGACAGGTTGGTGGAGGGAGCTGACCTTCATTCATTCACTTACTGCATTTATTCAGGGGGCGACAGATGACAATGAAGGTCAATGGGAACAAAGGACAATCAGACAAGGCCTACCCCAGGTAGCTCTAGAAGAGATCTGAGGGCAGTGAGGGAGTGAGCCATGACCCCTAAGCCTCCTGTGTCACCCACCTCCAGCCGTACTGGCCCCACACCTGTGCAGGTGCTGCCGCCATCGTCCAGCTCATATCCCTCATCACAGATGCAGTGGAACATTCCAGGCAGGTTCTCACAGCTCCTGAACACACCGAGGTTGCCCAGCATGCACTCATCCACGTCTGTGGGAATCCCAGGTCAGCCTGCCTGGCCTGTGGGGACCTGCTGCTACGTTCCAGCCCCAGTGGCCCGGGCCTCACCCTGGCAGGCACAGTGGTCCTCCGAGGGGCTGAAGGCCACCTCACACTCGCAGCAGAAGCTGCTGGGGTATTGAGGCACTGCCCATCCTCACGGAGGCCCACATCCTCTGCATATTCGTCCCTGTTTGCAGGCTCCAGAGGCAGAGGGATGGGGCTCAGCTGGCCAGGACCTGTACAGGGTGGACAGATGGCCCTCGTGACTCAAACCCTTCACTATCACCTGAGATTCCAGGAGCACTGGGAACTCAGACCCCAACCGGGTGGGCAGGTGACCAACCCAGGGCTGGGGAACAAGTGCCTGGGACTGATCCCTGGGATCCCAGCCAAGGGGCAGACAGGGGACCTGCACACACAGGATCCAGCGTAGAGGGTCACTGGGAAGTGAGCAGGTTGCTCCCCATTTCCAGAAGGCTTCCTGCATTCAGAGCGAGGGGTGGGAAGACTGCCCTAAGTGACTGGGTTTGGCCTATACATCACTGGCTGGTGGTGCATGTCTAGCACCCATTGAGTCACAGGGGTCCATGTGAGTCAGGAAACCAACTGACCATGGTGGTCACCTCAGAATCCAGCCACAGGGTTGCCTTCTTGGGTCCCCATCTCCAGAACTCACCTTCATAGGAGAAGCTGTCACCAGTGAAGCCTGGGCAGCAGGCACAGTAGCAGGAGCCATGGGGGTTGAGTCAGTCAGCAACCGGGCCACACTGGTGCTCCTGGAGGGCACACCCATCCATGTCTGCAGGACTGCAGGCCTATGGCCCCCAGTGTGCACCGAGGGGTTTCCAGGGCAGACCATCTAGCCTCGGCCCTGACCAGTCCCCACAGGCACCCTGAGCCCTGCCCCCACCTCACTCAGCTGCCCTGCCCAGACCACCCCTCTCTAGGCATTCACCACGGCATTCAAAGCCATCCCCCACCCAGCCGGGCTGGCACCTATAGCTGAAACTACCCAGGAGGATGAGGCAGGAGGTGTGGCTATCACAGCTGTGTCCTCCCAGCTCACACTTGTCTATGTCTGAGAGGAGAGGGACCTAGTTACGGGGGTCAAGACCAGTAGAGGGACCGAGCACCCCCACAAGGCCAGGGCCTCATAGAAACAGAGCTTTGGGTACAGAGTGGGGAGACTCAGTGTGGGGGTTAGGGAAAGGGTCAGGACCCCTTAGGACACGGCTGAGCCAGGCAGGTATGTCCACCTCCCCCCAGAGCCAAGAGGAAAACCACCAACCCTGACAGGCATGACTCCCTGCAGCCCTTAGAAATAATCTAAAATGGAGGCATGAGAGACTTAAAGTAAACATGAAGAGAGTCTGTCCTATACCTGAAATGAATATAATATTGTATATCAACTGTAATTAAAAGTGAATTTAAAAAAAGAGTAGGGGTGTGGGGCCAGGTGGAGGTGGGAGAAGCAGGCACAATAAAAAAGGAGTGACGGCCCTAAAGTACATGTCCCCCACTAGCGCAGGACGCCCTTCTAAACCAGCAATTCTGCCTTGCCTCCACGTTCTCTGCAGTGCTCAGACACCACCTAAGTGAGCTCCTATTTACTGGGTTTTTCTTCCCTCTGCCCCCCATTTTTACTCACATAAATATATTTTAACAGAAAGGCTTATGTCAACACCAAGTCTCTGAAAAGGTCAAGTCATCCTGACTTCACCTTAAAGATAAGGTCATCCTGGATGACGGTGGGCCCAATGACTGGCGTCCTTTGAAACGAGGGAGATTTGGAGACAGAGAGAACGCCATGCGATGACAGATACAGATTGGAGTGACGCATTTACAAGCCAAGGAACGCAAAGGATGATGGCCACCACCGGAAGCCAGGAGAGGCATGGAACAGACTTTCCCTCGGAGCCCCTAGGAAGGAACCAACCCACTGACACCTTGATTTCAGACTTCAGAGGCCCCCAGAACCAATTGTTTTGGAGAGGGAAGATTCTGGAGGTCTTCAGGCCCCAGGTTTGCGGTAATAGGCTATGGCAACCTACCCAGTTCAAACAGTAGCTTTTGAAGAGCCCACAGGCCGATTCCATATCCCTGAAAATCATCCTGTTGTGTGTTTTGGGAAGGGCTGTGGGCACTTGGGGCTCCGGCGCTCCCCTCACTGAGCTGTTTGTCAAGGGAGGCCCCAGGAGCACTTCACTGGGTCCTGTTCCTGCATGAACTGGAGCTCCCAGCAGAAATCTCTATGAATGAGGTCTGTCACACGCTGCCTCAAGGGACAGGGCAGCCCCCACACCCCCTGAGCTGGCCCCTCAGAACCCCTCCACCTGCATGCTGACACCCACTCACTGGAGCAGCCCGTGGTCCCCTCCCTGATGACATAGCCCAGCTGGCAGTGGCAGGCAAAGGAACACTTTATGTTCTCACAGTCCCTGTGGAGGCAGATGTGGGGGCTCAAGTCACACTCGTTCACATCTGCAGGGTGACAGGGAAGGAAGCAGATGAGCACAGAGAGGGTATACCTGCATCGCTGAGGGTCCTGCTGCACAGATGTCCTGGCTCCCTTGGCCCGTCTCCGGGGGCGGGGAGCTCCCGCCGGTGCCAGCGGGCATGTATTTGATGCCGCTGTGTTATACCAGAGTTTTACTGAGCACACTGGACACATACTTCCAAAAGGATTTTATGGCCAAAACATTTAGAGAATACAGAGTTAAACAAAGCTAACCAGGTTTGCTCCTGCATGCCTTCTTAGAGCCTTGTGCCAACATGGATCTACAAGAAAGGTATGATGTGGGCAGCATTCCCTACATTTCTTTGGTTCCAAGGCCATTTCCTTAAGTGCTTCCTAAAGACTCCTGTGATCTGGAGCCCTCTAAGCTGCACTGGACTGCACATGTCCTGTTGGGAAGCAATTACATTCTTTCTTCCTGGAAATTCCCCACTTGGTCCTCAGCTCTGTCCTGGTGGGGCACCCAGTGCACTTCACCCCCAGACTAGTAACCTGCAGCCAGAAGAAAAGTGATTGGGGCTCAAAGAACACAATCCTGAGTGTCTTTCCATGTTGCTCCCCAATCCCCTGCAAAAAACCTCTCAGCCAGCCCCAAATGTAAAATATGACTCTTGGAACAGGGCATGAACTTCTGATACACACCCTGTACACAGTGAGTGTTCAACAAACATACTTCAAAAGAACAAGGTTTGGGGGCTCTGCTACTATGAACAACATCCCACGGGCTTTGACGCTGGCTCAGGACACGGAGGGCCAACAGCAGACCGCCACGCACTGCTGAAAAACCTGCTCGCCCTTGCCGGTGTGTGTGACAGGGGTGCAGGCTGGTCTCTATCGCGCCCACCTCATAGAAAGCCTACTGTGTCGGTTTTGACACTGCCTTCTCCACCTTGCTGTCCCAGATTCTCACCAACACATCTTCATGTCCAGCGTGGCCACGAAGCCGTCATAGCACAAACAGTGGAGACTCCCAGGGACGTTGGTGCACTGGCCACCGTCACAGATGTCCAGATTCCCTTCACACTCATCCACGCCTGGGGCAGCAGGATAGGGGCTGGGCTGCAGGCAGGCTGGGATGGAGGTGGAGCCCCAGGGACCCTCCCCCGGGGTCAGGGCCTGTGCCTTGTCTAGCTGGCTTTGCCTTGGCTCCCCCATCCCAGGCAGTGGGGGTGGGAGGCCCTGTACAGGCCACCTGCACACACCCTCCCATCCGGCATCAGTGAGAAGCCGTGTCCACAGCCACACCAGTAGCCACCCTCAAAGTTAATGCAGAGCACGGCACACCTCGGTTGCTTGCAAGGCATTTGTTGATGTCTGCTTGGGTGGGGGGGTAGAGGGGGAGGGGCAGGGCCAGGGAAGAGGGTCAAGCAGGGAGCTGAGGAGCTGATCGGGGCCGGGGCTGAGGACAGGGGGTTGCGGTTGGGACCAGGGGCTGGAGGGTGACATCCATGTGCGGCAGGTGGATGCAGCCCTCGTGGTCAGGTGTGTTCTGGAAGCCGGCATGGCAGGAGCACTGGAAGGTGCTGATGATGTTGACGCACTGGCCATGGGGACACAGGCCATCACTCAGGGATCACTCATCCACATCTGTTGGGGTAGCAATGGCTGCCTGGGACCCAGCATGTACAGATGGGCGAGGGGCTCTTTCCGCCGTATGCACAACCCTGAGACACACAGACATACATGCATGCTGATGAGCTCATGGTGTAGGCAGCCACACACAAACACTCACCCTTGTATAAACACACCCACACCCAGATATACACACCTACATGCATGTTCATACAGGCTTACACAAAAACATGCCTTCACATGCAAACACAATAATCTTCAGTAGACACACAACTAGATACACACATCCACATGCATGTTCATGCAGATGCACAAACACCTCTCACAGCCACTCACAGGCAATTGCCCTTGTGTAAAAGTAGATACACACTTATGTAGACTCAAAACCACATCTGTATGTACTCACATACAAACAGAGCCACTCTTTTATAGGCATATTCACATATCCACAGATGCATTTGCAAGGTCACACTCTTACACACAAATCCACACTTCACACTACACAGACACACACTGAATGAACTAGCACACTTGCTTTTCTACTTTCACATCCACAGACATACATGTGAATACGCACTACCACTGCCTCGTGCACACGACCACTCAGAGAGGTACTGAGACACTCATGCAGAGTACACACTCACAGATAGACACACACATTCCGGATAACTCACTGACACAGCTCGCAATTGCTCGCCTAGGCACTCCCCTGGTGCGCATGCAGCCTCACATGCAGCTCTCCCAGCCGATGGCACGAGTCCGGGAGGGTACTGACGGGCGTAGCTCCCGTCTGTGTTGGAGCAGGTGCCTACCCGGCACAGCAGCGGGTCCCAGGCACACTCGTCCACCTCTGGGCCCATGGAAGGAGACGGCAGGTGTGAAGATGCAGACATGGGAGGGTATGACGTGGCTCTCCAAGCTTCTCCCTGTGCCCCTGCGCTGCCCCGTCACCCCAGATGAACCCAGGTGAGCCTGGAGGCTTGGGGCGCGGATGACCCAGGGAGAGGAGCCTGAGCAGGAGGAGCAGCAAGTCACATGGGGTGGGAACCTGGAGGGTTTGAGAGGCGCCCCCTGGCGGACACGGAAGGAAAGTAAAGCCCAGCCCGGGCCTATCTTCTACTGTACTTCGTATCCTGCAGGCATTGTCCTGCCCAGGGGCTGCCACCCACCAATGCAGCTTTTCATCAGCACGAAGCCGCTCTCATTGCCAAGGAAACACTAGCACTGGAAGCTGCTTTACTGACACAGGTGCCCTGGCCGCAGAGGCCAGGGGAGACATGGCACTCATTGATGTCTGGGGAGAGAGGGTTTGGGCCAGGCTGAACCTACAGATGCACAGGGCTACCCAGGAGGAGCCCCAAGCTGCCAAACCAAAGTCAGTCAGGGAATGGGGGAGCCGGGACTGCACACCAGGAGAGGGCAGGAATTTCAGTCCAGCCAGGAGGCCTCTGGAGGTTACCTTTCCCAGACTCTTATCTTACAGTCAAGGTCTCTGAGGCCAAGAGATCGTGGCAACCTGTGCTGTGTCACAGAACATAAGAGGTGCCTAAACACTCATGCCTGGATTCCAAGTTACATTCACAGACCTCATTATCACGGTGCCTCCCACGAGAGGCAGAGGTGGGCATGTACCTGTGCAGTTCTTCTCCTGGGCGTCCAGGGTGAAGCCTCCTGCACAGGAGCAGTGGAAGCTGCCCTCAGCGTCGTGGAGAGGCTACGCGTGTGCAGAGGCCAGGGAAGGCTTTGGACTCGTTAACACCTGCGATGCAGAAGCACCGAGTGTTGCCAAACTGCCCCGACCCACGGTTCAAATCCTGAGCATTCTCACCTCCAGGCCTTTGCTCGTGCCGTGGCCTCTCCCCATGCTGCAGACCCCCTGTGCCCACACATACCTTTACAGAAGGGCTGGCCTGACAGGAAGTCTCTGCTGGCAAATCCTAGCCCCCGGGGGCACAAACTAGTGAACACCAGGGACTCGGGCACTGGGCATGCCTCACATGCAGCCCCCAAGCAGCCCCCAAGGGGCAGCAGCAGACGTCCATCTGGTACTTGCTGGGCAGGGGCTCTCCACAGTTGTCCTCGTCCTAGTGCAGGAAACACACCTCCAGGCGCACATCTGCACAAGAGACAGTCACTGGCCCAGGCCCTGCCACAATGTATCCACTGCCAGACAGGAAATACAGCCTCATTCAGCAACACCGTCTGAAACCGCCACCCAACAGCAACAGCAAGAATGAAAGGGGTAACTGGCTCCCACTGCAATGCGATGTCATCTAACAGCTACATTTTAATAACTATAACTCCCACCACTAAGGTACTTGCTTTGTGGACACTGTTCTAAATCCATCTATCTAGTTAATCCTCAAATAACACCAAGATGAAATATTATCTATCATGCTCATTTTACAGGCGAGAAAGCTGAGGCACAGAAGGGTAAGGTAGCTTATCTGAGGCCAGACAGTGTTCAAATTAAGCAGAGCCAGGTTCAAACTAGGCCTCCTGGCTCCAGAGGCTGTGTACTTTAATCTGTAAAACTCCAGAACAATCTGACAGCAGATAAGCCTTCCTCAACGCCAGAGGCAACAGAAGTGTCTAAGAAAGGGGCCAGCTAAACAACTATAGCTCAGGGGGCTGGCCACTTGTTTTTGTAAATAAAGTTTTATTGGCACACAGTCACATCCATTTGTTTCCATACTGTTTGTGGCTGCTTTTGGACTCTGCACAGCAGAGCTGAAGTAGTTGCAACAGATGCTGCGTAGCCCACAAAACTAAGTATGTTCACTCTCTGGCCCTCTGCAGAAAAAGTTTGCTAATTTCTGGTCCAGGACAACTTTTCTCTCTTTACAAAAGGAACATTCATTTAAGTAGGCCAATTTGAAGATGAAACCCTGTTATAGAATTTCTAGAAAAAATCCGAAGTTCTGTGATCCACACAGAGATCCTTAAGTTCTCTTGTACCAGTGCCTTGGTCCCAGGCTAGTGATTACACTTGCTTAGACGTCCCCATTGCACCTAGCCCTGACCCTGAATGACCCCTAAGTTCAGTGCAGGGTACCCCCATTTTTCTTTACTCAATTACTTTTTTTCTTTACACATTTTTGGGAGCAATCAATAAAAAGACCTGCTGCATGACCAAAACTCGGGTTAGAAGGACATCACAGTTGAGAAGGGTCATCAGCACCATCTTCCTCACAGTGACCAGCCCCAAGGTGCCAAAAAGAAGGCTACTGGGGATTGATGGCACCACAGGAAGAAAAACCATACAATGCGGAGCCCTAACTGCTGGCCAACATATGCCCATGCCAAGAAGCATCCAGCTCAGGTGTGAATAAGAGCAAAGTCAAGAAATCCTCATGTAGGGGAAAACTATCTCAGTGCCTTTGAACCTGAGGGGCAGCCACAGAGGGGGCGGGTATGCGCCCAGGACACTGAGGGCACCTCATGCCCAAACGTCCATGTCAACCTCACCTGGTCAGGAGAAAGAATAAACAAAGCTGCTGGTGTCATTTCGGCTTTTACTATGTGCAACGAGCTTCATTAAGGAGACAGTTAAGTGAAGAGGGAGACTCCCCCAAAATAAATGTCCTTCAAGACAAGTCAGCAGATGGGCAGGGGATGGACCCCCTAAATGCCCCCATTTCTAGAAGAGGTCTCCAGTCACTGGGTAGAGGCACCAGAGAAAGGGTAGGCACCACACAGGCGGGCCCAAGGACTCACCCACGCACAGCCAGCCCATGGCGTCCAGTGTCAGGCCCTCAGGACACTCACAGCGGAAGGAGCTGGTGGTGTTGCAGCAGCACCCGTTGGGACAGACCCCAGGAAAGACCTCACACTAGTTCACATCTGGGCAGTGGAAAGCACAGAGGACAGGTGAGGGCCACGGCTCCTAGGTGCTGCTCTCCTGGTATACAGGACCCCCAAGTCGTCCTAGGGGAGGTGGGAAGGTCTGGGTACCAAGAACATGGTCTGCCCCAAATCTCAAAGACCTGGCCCTCATAACATGTGGCTGCCCACGGGCAACTAGGAGGATGGCCCCAGAGGGACAGGGCGTCAGTTACCTTCACAGGTGAGCTCCTTCGAGTGGACAAAGCCACAGGCACAGGTGGGGTATATGGGCAGGAGAGCTGGAGTGGAGATGGGTCTTCTCTTCATCCAGACCCAAGTCACCTGTGCTATCCCAGGTCTCCCAACAAGCACCAGACAGGCCCAGTGGCCACACCCAGGAGGCCTCCAGGAACCCTCCCCCCAGGGGCTGTCGGGGCATTACCCATCTTGCAGCATTCACAGGGACTCCCCCAGGCAGCCCCCAGGGTGGCACAGCACTCAGACCACAGAGTGGCTCCACAAAGGTTCACTTCACAGTGGCCATCCTGGACCTTCATCCAGCAGGTGCCCTTGGTGCTATCTGCAAGAAAGGGTCACTTTCTGACCCACTGCGCCCACATGTGCACAGCGACCACAGAGCCCCAACCCTGCTAGCAAACAGGTCAGGAGAAAGGGCCCCTGAAACTCATGGGACTCAGGCCTCTCACCTAGGCAGAAAATTCCCCTGGGCCCTGGTTGGCTGCCAGGGGTACATCCACAGGCATAGCAGGTGGCCAGGTTCCAGCATGCACCATTCACACACAGGTCAGACAGGCACTTGTCCATGTCTGTGAGGACAGCCCTCCACCTGGCTAGGCCCCCCTGCTCCTCAAGGCATGGGATGTACCCGGGTCCATGCGCACATGTATGAACAGACAAGGTGTGTGCATGTGGGCAGAGCACACAGGTGCAGGCACACATTTGCGCTGAGTCTTACTGTGCACCCACGCAAGCATGCTGGCAAGCACGGTTCTTGAAGTGTGTATGTCTGAAAGGTACAGAGACAGACACCGGGGGGATGGTGACCCTCAGCAGGTCAGAGCACAAGAGAACAAGAGTGAGGTGAGGTGGGCACTGTGGGAAGTTCTGTCTGTAAGGGGAGAAGGAAAGGAGACAGAGCTCCGGGAGAGGTGGGCGCAGGTGGAAGGTGTGTGTGTGTGCACATCTCTGTGAGTGCTGCGGGTCCTGCAGACCGGTAAGGTCACATATTCCTGCACGTGGGATGGTATGTGTAAATACACATGTGTAACTGTGAACCTGCATGTGTAAAAGTGAGCAAGCATGAGCAAGTATGTACACACCTATCTTTGAGTTGTATACACGAAGTTGTGTAACTGTGAGGGTGTCTGTGTGAATATGAGTGTGTACCTGTGTTTTAAGACCCCATGTGTATAAGCGAGTCTCTAATCATGTGAACATCTGTGTGAATATATGAATGTCTGAGTGTGTGCATAGTGTATGTCTTTGAAGGAGTGACTGCTTATGTGAATATAAGTGTGTAAAGTATGAGAATAAGTGAATGTAAAAATGGGGGTATACAAGGTCTGTCTAGAAAAAGTCCAACCATTGTTAATATAATGAAAATGGTTTGCGCTATATCAATGTAACCTGGAAGCCATGGACAGTGGACTGGAATGTGCATGCGTGAACAATGACAACTTCACGGTACTGGTCAGTGGGGGCGGTAGACACCACTGAGTGAGCATGCATACCAAGTGGCCATCACATTCAATTGACTGAGTGAATAGAGCAACAAATCTGCATCAGATTTTGCATTAAGCTTGTACATTACTCAGTGGAAGCTACTCAGATAATTCAGAAGGCTGCAGCTATAGGCAACTGGTGATCAGCAGCTTCATCACGACAACACATCATCTCATGCATCCCATCTCATGCAGTTTTTTGGTAAAACATCACATCTCCCAGGTGACTCAGCCCCTCTACAGCCCAGATTTGGCACCCCGTAACTCCTGGCTTTTCCTAAAACTAAAATCACCTTTGAAAGAGAAAAGATTTCAGACCATCAATAAAACTGAGGAAAATACAACGGGGCAGCTGATGGCAATTGGAAGAACTGTGAGGTCCCAAGGTGCCTACTTTGAAAAGAACTGAGGCATCATTGCCCTATATACCATGTTTCTTGTATCTTGTTCAATAAATGTCTTTCGTATTACATGGCTGGACACCTTCTGGATGGACTCATATGTTTCAGTGTGTAAGTGTATATAACAGTGAGACTAAGTGTAAGTATACACATGTCCTTAAGTGTGTATGAGTTTAAATGCGTGTGGGTGTGGGTATATGCCTGTCTGAGCATGAATGTGTGTATACACAGCAGGCAGTGTAAGCATCTGAGTGGGTGCATGTGTGTACCCAGAGTGTGTAATGTATGTGTCTGAGTGTGTGGGATGTGTGTGCACACCACACGAAGCATGTGTGTGTCTGTGTGTGTACATGCCCCAGCAGCAGGCCCAGGATCCTGTACCTTCACAAGCCTGTGTTTCTGGATGGAAGCTGAAACACTGGGGGCAGGAGCAGCTGTAGCTGCCAGGGCTGTTCTGGCACCTTTCATTGTCACACAGAAGGCTGTTGCGGGCACACTCATCCACGTCTGCAGGGCAGGGCGAGAGAGCAGGGTGAGAGCTGTGCTGTGGGAGGCCCGCCCACCGGCCATGGCCCGCTCACCAGCGCACTCCCTGCCGGTCGTGCCTGCCTCATAGCACAGGTGGCAGATGCACCGGTAGCTGCCCTGCAGGTTCTCACACTCGCCATTGGCACAGATGTCGGGGTCAAGGGCACACTCGTTGATGTCTATAGCAAGAGGACCGTGTCACCACAGTCTCCAGAAACCAGGTCCCCTGGGTCCAGAGCTCCAGTCTACACCCTGCTTCCTCGGCCTCGAAACCAGGGTTTCCCAGCCCTGCAGACATTGCCGGGTGGGCAGTTTGCTGTGGGGGCTGTCCTGCACGTTCTTATAGGTGGCTGAGCGGCAGCCTGGCCTCCACCTGTGAAATGTCAGAGGCACCCACCCCAATATTTCCCCAGACTTTGACAAATATCCCCTGCGGGGCAACATTGTCCCCAGTGCAGAACCCATGGAACAGATTTCATACGCTGCAACACAATAAAAGTAAAAACGTTATAAATGTAAGAGTGCGAGGTGCTTACTAGTTTGTGCCAAGGGTGTTCATGCGTTTGATCCTTTCAACACTCCTAAAATGGGTCCTATTACTATCCCCACTTTACAGACAAGAAAACTGAGGCACAGGGAAGGTAAATGATTGTCCCAAGGTTACTCAATCAGTAAATAGTAGTGCTGGGATTTGTACCTAGGCATCTGCGGGGATGGGTAGGGAATAAGCAGGGGCAGGACTTCTGTCCAGCCCCATTGGCCCAGCAGTGCATAGAAAACTCAGCTATCTCCCAGGTCCTTTTATTTCTGCTCAGATGGTTTCTCTATCACCCTCTCCCTCTGTCTGTGTTTGGTCAGCAAACAGATGAACAGAGACACACACAACTGTACAAACACGGCACTTTGGGCTGAGAGCTACTGGTGCCAGGAGACCAGCCACGGGTCCTTCCAGGGGGAGGGACAGGGATGTGGGAGGAAGCACAGCTCTGTGTCTGCCACCTTTCTGCTCTGGGCTGAGGTGTGTGCCTCAAAATTCACATGCTGGAGTCCTGATCCCAGGACCTCCACGTGACCTTATTTGGGGATGGGGTCTTTACAGAGCTAATTCAGTTAAAACAAGGTCATTAGGGTAGATCCCCAAGCCATTTCAGTGTGATTGGGTCCTTAAAAGGGGAGAAATTAGGACACAGACAGGCACAGAGGAAGGACGCCTGTGAAGACGGAGGCAGAGGCAGGGCGACGCTCTACAGACACAAGCTGAGGAAACAGAGTTCCAGCAAACCACCAAAGACCAGGAGAGAAGCAAGGGATAGGCTCTCCCCAGCCTCAGGAGACACCTCCTCCTAACACCTTGGTCGTGGACTTCTAGCCTCCAGAGCCAAGAAATGATAAATCTGGGGGGTTGAAGCTCCCAGCCTGTGGTACTTAGTTACCACCAACTGCTGCCATGCTCCATCACAACCCTGCACGCCCCCAACACCCATCCCCACTCACCTCTGCTGTCTGCCCTCAGAGGTCTTGCCGAGACCACTGCTGCATAGGGCCTGGAACTCAGCCGGGGGCAGGACAGGGTGAGAGGGGCCACTGCCCAGTGTGAGCCACACCCCAGGATGTGGCCCCTTCATGTTGAGCAAGAGTCTGGCACTACGATGCCTCCCAATGGGGAAGACAATTTCCTGCAGTGTCTTGAAAAGAACCCCAGTGGAGAGATGCCCCCAGCTCATGAAAGCCATGACCCAGGTTCCCTCCTACCCATAGGGTGATGGACTGAAAACAAGGGCTGTAGGGAGCTTGGGGCTATGGAAAGCAGGTGACACAGGCAGCTCACTGGAGTTCCTGGCAGGACACAGCTGGCAAGGCTCCCCAAACCCATGGTCTGGGCTGGCACAGCAGCACTCAGGTTTGGTCATGGCACAGGGTAAAGGGCAGGCACAGGAGCCACTGTTGAGGGCCCTGTAGCCTGTGCTGTGCCCAGAGGTGTCCACGTACATGCTGTCATTGACGCCCACCGCCAGCCCCACAGGCAGCGACTGCGGAAGGATCCCTCAGTGTTGGTGCAGTGGCCATTCATGCAGATGCCAGAGGTCTGACACTCGTTGATGTCTGCAGGGGCGTGGGGACACTGCAAGCTGTCCCAGAGCCCTGCTGCCAGCCCTTCCCTTTCTCCCCATTGCCTCGGGTTCAGCCTCCGCACTCATCCTTCGCTGTAGTAGCCACCGGGCGCCAGCAGGAAGCTGGGTTTGCAGAGACACGTGAAGCTACCATCCTCTTTGAGGCACACGCCATTAGCACACATGGAGGTAGTGGCACATTCATTTTGATCTGGGGTCATGGGAATCGGCTGGGTCCCAGCAGGCCAGGCTGGGCACCAGACCCTCGCTGGGCCACTGAGGCCTGGAGACCAGCCTCTCTGGCTCACTTCTCCAGGCCGAGGCTGCAGCGGAGCCCCCGGGTGCCCTCCCTGAGGCAGGGGAGCCCAACCAGACAAGATCTGGCTGTCTGTCTGTATCTGTGTGCCTATCAGCTTGTTGGACGTGAGCGCCTGCTGGGCCACCCCTGGGGCCACGTGCCCATGTCTGCATCTTTGGTCCAGGTGCACAGTAGGTTGCTCAAACATATGTGTTCTAAGTGGAGTGAGTGAGATGGTGGCTGCATAACGTGGCACTAAATGCCACGGAATTATTCCCTTAAAAAGGGTTAAAATAAATTTTACGCTACCTGTATTTTGCCACAATAAAAACAATGCCAAAATAATTGAGTATGTGAATGGTGGTTGTACAATGGGAATGTACTAAATGCCACCAAACTGTTCACCTAAACACAGTTAAAATGGTAAGTTTTATCCACTATGTACATTTTACTACAAACATTTTTTAATGAATGAGGTGGTGGTTGCCCAACACTGGGAATGTACCAGGTGCCACTGGATTGTCCACTTATGCGTGATTAAATTTATGTTGTGTGAATCTCACTTAAATGTTTTTAAAAAGGAAGAACAGGAAAAGCCAGTGAATAAGGAAATAGTCTAATTTAAAGGAAGGTGGTAGGTGCAGTAATGAGCTGCTGGCCAAAGCACCAATTTTGAGTGACAAAGGACTGCCCTGAGAAAAAAGAAAAAGAAATGCATATAGGAACTAAAAGCCCACACAAACGTGGGCACGAATGATCACAGCAGCTTCATCCATAACTGCACAGAGCAAGCATTGCTCCATCCTCGGCTGATGGAAGCATAAATACAACATGGTCCGTTCACACCCTGGAATATCACATCATCAAGAACAAAGTGAAGCACTGACACTCACAACAACGTGGGTGAACCTTGGAAACATGACGTGAAGGAGCCAGACACAAAAGACCACAGAGCATGTGATTCCATTTATACAAAGGTCCAGAGCACACACATCCACAGAGACAGAGAGTGGAGTAGCCTCATGCTGGGAGCTGGGGCAGGCAGTGAGGACGCTGGGATGCGGTGTCACCCCGCTACTATGGAGACGAGGTGACAAAGGTGTAAACTTAGAGGACAGCAACACTTGTACAACTCTGACTGCACTAAAAATCATTGAATTGTGTGCTTTAAATGGCTACTTTTATCGTGTGGGGATGATGTATCAATAAAGATGCTAAAAAGTTTTTTTTTTCAATGAATGAATGCGAAAAAAGAGAAAGTCCTTTCTGACGAGGAAAAACTTTAAAGGCAGGTCTCCTTGAGAATAAAAGGGGTCTCAGTGGTACCCACCAACTCTGCTGGCTAAAGCTTGGATGGTACCCCCTCCCCACAGGCAACCTGAGGGTAGAGCAGTCTCCACGGTCCTGATCCCAGGCCAGACTCTGGGGCCATCATGGGACAGGAGAAAGGACGAGCTTTGGACCCAGGGTCAGATAGCCCTTCCTAGTGTTCTGGAGGGAGTTCAAAAAGGAGATAATGAGGAGTGAGTCGGAGTGGACAGAGACAGAAAGGCCCTCAGGCAGGCTAGCTGGGTTCAGAGAGGTGAACAGAGGATCCGTCACAGGGAGGAGGTGGGTGATGCAGCAGGAATAAATATTCGACATGGCAGCTTGAGGGGCCCAGGAGCCCCCTACCCACCCACCCACCCTCAAGTCACCCACACAGTTCTTGACACGAGGGCTGTGCTCGAAGCCAGCATTGCAGACACACAGGAAGCGGCCATGATGACAGAGGCCACTGCTGACAAGGCATTTGTCTGCATCTGGGAGTAGGGAGGCAGACATCAGCAGGTGGCCCCACTCAGATTCATTCAGGCCACAGATGCTGGCTACACCTGGGCAGCACCCCTTTGTTGTTCCACTCTCAAATAGGGGGTTGTGTCCATACAGGCTTGCTTGGAGAGTGTGGCCTGGAAACCCTCGTGGCACCGGCAGTCACAAGAACCGAGGGTGTTGATGCAGTCTCCACTGTGGCAGGGGCTGCTGGAGCTGTCATCCACATCTGTGGGCAGAGGACCCTGAGCCCCATCCAGGCAGGGTGTGCCAGCCTAGCCTGCCACGGCTCACCTATGCACTGCCCCCAGATGTCCTGTGAGTAGCCCATGTTACACTGGCAGCGGTAGCTGGGAGGGGTGGGCAGGCAGTTGCCGTTTGGACACAGACTGGTGAAGTGCCAGCAGACATCAATAGTCTGGTTCAGGGTGGCTGTACCTGAGGTGGAGACGACAGGGGGGGCGGCCCTCGAGGGTGGGCTGGCTCCCTGAGCCTGAGCCTGGCCTCTGGGTTCCAACACCCACTCTGAGGCTGGGATGTTCTGTGCCCAGGTTCTCCCACGTCAGCCCAGGGTCCGTGCCCAGATTCTGAACCCATCTGGCTGAGACTGCCACCCTAGGCCCAGAGAAGCCCAGACCCCCACCCCAGCCCTGGACCCCTGCAGAAGGCCCAACACTGATTGAGACCCAGATCCCTAACTGCCCCATTCCAGTCCACTGTGAGTGCACCCCTCCTGCCTGGGCCAGCAGCCCAGGCCAAAGTTCCGGCCTTCCCTCTGACGCCTGGACCCCTCCTCCCAAGTTGCAGGCCTTACTGATATATCAGCATCTCCTAGGCCCAGGCTGGGAATCGCATGCCCACTGGAGTGGAGCTGTGAGGGTTCTGCTGTGCCGGCCCGAAGCCAGGACCCACACCACCACTGGATCCAACGCCAGGGAGGTAAGGGAAGGAGCCAGGGTAGAAGGGCAGCAGTGGGAGCCCCTGGGCACTGAGTCTTGAGAAATCATCCACAGGAGGCAGGCTTTTTTAGGCCAGATGGTGGGAGGCAGCCCCCAGGCCACTCACCAGAGCCCCGAGGGGGACAGAGCCGGGGGACTGGGCCAGCAGCCCAGCACCTGCCATTTCCACAGCAGCACTGCCTGTGAGTGTAGTGGCCGGCGAGGTCTCTGGTGCAGCAGCCTACAGTTAGAAGCAAGAAGCAGGTGCCGGTCCAGAGGTCTGCAGTGGGATGTGGGAGGATGGGTTCCCAGCCCTGTATTAAAATCCCAGCTCTGCCCGCAGTGCCTACTGGTCTCTAGGTCTCCTTGAACTCCCGCTTCCGCAGCCAGGGAATGGAGGTGCTCAGGGTGCCCACCGCACCTCAGAGGAGTAGTGTTTGAATGAGAAGCGGAGTGTGCTGTCTCTGGCCAGAAGGCTGATCCTCACTGAGCAAGGACCTCGCTACCCAGATTTCCACATTACCGCAGGGAGGTTATTCTGGGGTCATGCCAGGGGAAAGCATTCCAACCCCTAAAGCTAGCAGTGGTAGTAAGCTCCCAGTCCCTACAGGTGTCCAACTACACTGATGAAGACCTTGGTTTGGATTGTCCACCCTGATGGGAGGTCTGGCTGGACTTTCAAGCAGGGACTCTGGGATCTCGAACTGTGCCTCCCCACCTGCCAGCCCTGGGCATTCCAGGAAAACCCAAGAGGCTGTGAACTGGTGGAGGGGTTCGAGGAGCAGAGTGATGGATTGGCAGCTGCAGCCCCTGGGGAAACTGAGGCAGAGGCTCCCCAGGCAGCAGAACCATGACACTCTTCCACTTTCCACTGTACCCTTGAGTCTAAAAGCTTTACTTGATGTTCAGATTTCTTGAGCTCTGACTCACAGAGAATATTTCTAGGTCTAAAAAATGCACACATCACCCTGGCTGGTGTAGCTCAGTGGATTGAGCATGGGCCAAAGAACCAAAAGGTCACCAGTTCAGTTCCCAGTCAGGGCACATGCCTGGGTTCTGGGCCAGGTCCCCTATGGGGGGCTGCGCTAGAGGCAACTACACATCGATGTCTCTTTCCGTCTCTTTTCCCTTCCCTTCTAAAAAAATAAAATAAAATCTAAAAAAAAAAAAATCCATACAAATCTTGGGAGGAAAACACACACAAATCTTGGGAGGTGGCCCAGAGTGGGGAAACCCTCCCGCCAGCTGGGAGGGTCCTTGACCTACCCCAGGCTAAAAAAATAGGCAATCTTTCCACCTCCCCTGCCACACCCCAAACATCTGGGGACCCCTCCAGGGGTGGTGTGGAAGTGGGGGCTCTGTAGTCCCAGCACCATGCCAGGCCCTCAAGGGGGACAGGGCAGGTCAACAGACTCATTCAAGGTCACACAGCTGCTAAGGAGGAAGGGGGAATGGGGACCCAGATTCCTGAAGCTCAGGGGCTCTGACCGAGCAGCTGCCACACAAGTAGAGAGGACAGAGACAGAACACAAGAATTTTAACAAAAGCAATGCTGCCACTGCTTATTAAGCACTCACTGTGGTCAGGCCCTGCTAAGGGGTCACAGCCCTGGTTTTACTGTTCTGTCTCCATGATCTGTGCTGAGCACCCATTGCCTCCAGCCACGGGCAAACCACTGCATGGACTGCACTTCACCCTCTCCACGACTCCGTGTGATAGGTACTGCCAGGACTCCCGTTTTATAGATGAGGATGTTGGGGCACAAAGAGGTTAAGTCACCTGCCCAAGGTCACGAAGTAGGTGAGCAGCTCAGGTGGCAATTGGAACCCACAAGTGAAACCCAGGCCCATGTTCAGAGGCAACCTGACCTTGGGTCAAATCAAGGCTCTGCTGTTTGGTAACTGGGAGAAACCCCCAAGTCTAGGGAACGTGCCCCAGTGTATCATCCATGACAGTCATGGTTGGTCACAGCACACTGGCAGAACCCAAACACAACCTTCCCAGTCCTGCCTGGTAGAAGCCTAGCCAGAGCGACCTGGAGGTGCTTGGGAACTGCCAAGCCCTGCCCCCCTCCCCAAACCAGGACTGCCCATCCCCCACTATACATGTCATAGTCCTGGCTCACCCTATTGGTCACTAGCAGCCTCTGAGGTCTAGCCACCAGCTCGTGAAGACAGCAGGACAGAGTGAGAGGCCAAGGGTCCCCCTGCCCCAGCCGGTCTGGGTGAGGAAGAGCACAGGAGGGTGGGTATCCTGGCTGAGAGGTCTGGAGAGCTGGGTGTGGGCAAACCGCTTGTTGGGCCTCCGTCTCGCCATCTGTGTGCAGGGTGAGATGGGATGCTCTTAAAAAGTCTTTGGGAGTGGAAAGAGGGACATAGAGACGGCAAGCTAGAGACGTTAATGCACAGAAAAGGTACAGATAGAGGCTAGAGGGCCAGAGGAGCATAGAGGTGAAAGTTAGAGGGCAGAGGGGCTTGGGGGTGGGGGAGAGAAAAGGCCCAGACAGAGGACCAGACAGCTAAAGGGCACAGAGGTGGCGTGCCAGTGGGGCTTGCTGACTAAGGCCCAGAGAGCAGAGCCTAATGGTTAGGGAGCTGTAATGCCAGAGGGAATGGAATCCAGGGTCAATATCGAGGTGTCAGCAGGACTGCGTTTCTTCTGGAAGCTCTGGGGAGAATCCATTCCCTGCCTTTGCCAGCTTTAGAGGCTCCTGCCTTCCTTGACTCCTGGCCCTTTCCTCCATCTCCAAAGACAGTAGTGTACCATCTTCTAGTCCCTCCCTGGCTCTTCTGCCTCCTTCTCCTAAGGACCCTTGTGATGGCATTGGGCACCCAGGTAATCCAGGATCATCTCTCCATCATCTCCAGACCCTTGAGTTAATACCGTCTGCAAATATGTGTGGATGTTAGGTCACTATCACAGGTGCCAGGGGTGGGGTGTGGGCACCTCTGGGGCAGGTGTGCACTATTTAGCCTACCACGGTGAGTTTCCTTGAGCAGTTTCCAGAGCAGAAACCTCACCATCTGCTCCAGAGGGATGAGCAAGATGTGGGATTTAAGCTGTGCCTTTTAAACTCCAGACCTCAATTTCCTCATCTTCCAAATATGAAATAAAAAAAACCAAACCAACAAACCCTGTCTTCTGGTCATTTCCCTGGGAAATGAGGTGGAAGCAGGCTGACCAAAATGTGCTGTGGCCACAAGTGGCCCAAGACACAGATGCCCAGGGACCCTGCCCTGAGGCCATTACCCAGTTCTGCAATAAGCCTTATTGATCACCTACTGGGTACCAGGCACTGGTGATAGGAAAGTCAGCAGAAACAGACCTGAGGCCTGCCTTCCTGCAGTGCATCAGTCTGGGGACCATCCCTTCAACTGACACTTACTGAGTGCCTACTGTGTGCCAGGCACTACTCTAGGTGCCGGTGATGGGGCAAGGGGCACAGCAGCAAAGAAGGCAGATAGCTCCTGAACCCCATTCTAGTGGAGGAGAGGTACCTGGTGCCCATGGAGGAGAGGTATCTGGTGCCCAGGGCCTAAGGTCAGCGGATGCGTCTCCAAAGTGATGATGTTTGTCCTGAGACTGGCCTTAGATAAGGAGGAGTTAAACCAAGAGAAAGGATGAGTGGGAACCGCATGTGCAAAGGCCCTGAGCAAGCTGAGTGGCTGGAGTACAAGGACCAAAGGGAGAGAGGAGTGAGAAGCGATGCTCAGCGAACTGGGAAATGTCTCAATATTTTAAGATCAAGAGGGAACCATTGAAGGGGTGATTGCAAGTGGGTTCTGCAAAAACTGGGACCACTAGGCCAGGCATGGATTCGTACTGCGGGGGAAGGAAGGACCTGGCCCTGCCCCGAGCCCTGCCATCACACCCATCTTTCTGGGACTGCAGTGTCTACCCTGCCTGTCTCCCTAAGGCCCCATCCATCCTCCAGCTGCTGTCATAGTTTCCACTTGCAGCTTTCTCCCATGCCCTTCAAACCTTGAGTATGCCATTAGTTCAGTTAACACCTATTAGGCACCTACTATATGCCAGGTACATTACATACACTATCATGTTGAGTTCCCCTCATAACCCCACAACAAAGGCCCATGGTCAGGTGTGGAGACTGAGGCCCAAGGATACAGTAGGTGAAGTGACACAGTTGGACCCAGAAGCTCAAGCCTCACTAACTCTCAGAAGACATGTGTGTGCAGGGAATATCGTAGGTCCTCGGAGAACATTCAGTGAATCAGTGGATGAGTGACTGAGTGAACCAATGGTGAGCAAGTCCAGTGTGGCCGGGGGAAGGAGTGAAAACTACATGCAGAGAGGTGAGCAGGACTCAGATGGAGAGAAGCCTTGAAAGCCAAACCTGGAAGTGCGGGTATAACCTGGCGGCAGGTAGGAGCCATGGAAGGTTCTAGATAGAAGGTCACAGAATCTGATTTATGTCTGAGTTGGACCAAGCTGCCAAGAGGGAGGCAATTGAGTCTGTCACTAGGGGGCATTCAAGTCTTCCTAAAGCTTGTCTTCCTAAAGGTTGTGCAGAGGGGCCACTGGCCACAGGTGGCAGGTGAGCACTTGAAATGTAGCCATTCCAAATCCAGATACAAGTGTAAAGTACATACTGGATCCCAAAGACTCTGTAAGAGAAAAGGAATGTAACATGACATAAAATGATTTGGGGCATATTAGGCTAAATAAATTAGAATTTTATCTGTTTCACTTTGGGTGGGTAGGTCAGCTGATTAGAGCATTGTCCTGATACACGAAGGTTGTGGGTTCAATCCCCAGTCAGGGCACATACAAGAATCAACCAATGAATGCATAAATAAGCAAAACAGCAAATTAATATTTCTCTCTCCTTTCTTCTATCTCTCTAAATTTAATAGATAATTTTTAAAATTTCACCTGTTTCTTTTTACTTTTTTGTAATGTGGTGAAGATTGTATACATGGATTACATATATTTCTATGGGGCAGTGCTGGCTTAGAGAAAAGTTACTGTTTTCAACTGTGGTGAGGGGGCGAACTAACATTTTTCTCTTACTTCCTCTTAGATTAATCATCTTTCATGGATGTTCTCCATGCTCATGAGCACCAGTGCATGCACATAAATAAACAGTGCAGAAATGGGGAGTTGGGCTCATTGTTTCATAAATGTGGAATTGTATGGGATATGTGTTTTTACCCAAGGTATTGTATGAAAACTGCTCAGACCACTTGCTAAGGTCCTAATTCACTCTTTTATTTTTCTTTT